GCGCAATAATGCGCGACACAGTTTCCACGCAACGAGGCTCCGGCGCTAACAGTCACGAGCCTGCTCTACCACCACCCCCTCGATCTATGGATATATTCCTCCTGAAACCAAAAGACATGAGGTCACAGCATCTGTTTAGCCCACAGGGCAGCAGACAGGGCAGTAAACTAGATCCGGTCATTTTTTTCTGGTCATAATAATTTCTTATGTTAATTCCATTCAAATCAAATATATTTAATTCCTTCACTTGCATAGTTTGTGCAAACAATTAAACCAAAGTAAAGCGTTGTTATTAATATTTATAAGTTTATAGTTTCATAGAAATGTTTATTCTTAAGGGTTAGATAGACATTATACAAACATCTAATCTAACTCTAAGCAACGCAGTAACATGTCCCGCATTAATGTCCTATTGGTCCCACATCTGGCTTGTTGGCACCTGGTCACCCTAACTGCACCCCACCTGGACAACGGAGCTTCCTGTCCTGCAACAGCATACTGACCAGCTACAACAAAGATGACCCAACACAGTGCAACTGCCAGCACAGCACGCTTTTACTAACCTACCCCAGCCAAGAAATTGTCAAATAACCCATCATTACAATGTATTGTTTTACATACAGTAAAAAATTTGAACTATTTGCAAAAGTTCCCAGCATGGTCCTGTTGTGTTCAGGGCACTCTACAGACGTACAGCATTTGTTCGCACTACGAAAGGCAGTTGTTTCTGTATGTGTGTACGAACTGATTTAAGCTTATTAGGGCCAGTGAGTGTAACTAATGTGACTCATTATATCCTCGGCTACAGGGTGCTGGGGAGTATTGTTGCTTTTCCTAATGACGTCTGAAAGCAGCGACCAGGCAACTGTGGCGCAGGTGAGTAACAGGTGAGTCCCGCTGTTGGAGAAACAACAAGTGGTCCACCAGTCAACCCTAATGAAGCTCTGGAACAGCCAGCCAATTACAGTAGACTCAGGGCTTCTTGAAGCCAATTAAAGTGGACTCTCTGTGGAGGGAAAAGCCAACCAGCCCAGTTCATCACTCCCCCGGAGGCATGTTAAGGTGCCTCATCCACGTCAGAAGAAGCCCCAACAGTATCCTCTGAGAAACAAGTATACATCCCCAGAGGTAGTGGTGCAGGGAGAGAGTACTCACTCTTTAGGAAAGGGGATGGGCTGCAGCAGGCTGGCGAGAGCAGGTCTCCAATCATCATAGTCAGACCTGACAGAGACAACAAGTTGCAAAATGAAAAGGGAACCAGATAAAGAGTGTCAGTATAACAATGTGAAGAGCAGGGTGTAGTCTGGAGAAGTAAGGCAAGGAAACCACAAGATAGAGGAGTAGCTGGATATGAGCAGCGCTGAGATGATATTACTATGAGTTCAGTGACACTGTGACAGCATCGCTTTTTAGGCCATCCTGTGGTTGCCACACCTACATCCTGACACAAAGAAACTCACACATAAATGCTGCTCCACTTTCAAACTGTGAAATACAGCACCAGGACTATTTACCGAATATAATGGGACCTTTTCCTTTAATATGAATCTGGCTTGGATCTTTTTTTTATAGAAGCTTTAACAGACTTACTGTATGTTGACTTGAGAACTCATTTTAAACATATGACACAATTGTCTCAATTAAGTAACACTGTGTGTGTGTCAAATGTAACCAAGAGCATATTTGGCACCACTGATTAGGTTTATTTTGTAAATTAAATAATGCATGTCTTTAAACACTGTCACAGGGCACGTGGACAGTCAAAAGAATGCTACTGAAGCAGGTTTGACAATGCACTAATTACCTACTACATTGTTACTTCTTTATTATGAGCAAAAGACTGCAACAGACAATCCAAAATATAAATCTGTTAGCTTCCAATATGTTCTTCAGACAGGTGAACTCTACTGTCCATGAAGCGGCAAACTCCGTGTCGGAAGTGCCAGCAAATATCATTTAATGTTGTTTAGGCATTTAACAGGATCATCTACCCTTTCATTTTGTTCTTGGAAACACTTTTTAAATGCTTAGTGGGCAGTTCTAGTTTTTAGATGACTCTTAGAATATATCAGTTGGATATTGGATCAAAGCCATAGGAATCAAGTATATGTCATGATGTGTTGTGATTTTTGAACTCACAGCATCTTGAGGATGAGCGCGAAGCAGCCCAGCACGCGGTCGGCCTGCGCCGGCAGCTGGATGGACAGAGTGCTGAGTGCCGGGCTGACCAGCAGGCAGTCGATCAGGTTGGGTTCACTGTCGCCCCCCGATGGACCGCCCTTCTGCCTACTGTTGGCCGAGTTGTTGTTGCGCTCCAGCTCCACCAGGATCTCACTTGAGTTGACGACGGAGGGAGGAGGGGAGAGGGGCAGGGAGGGTGTGGGGAGGGAGATAGGAATGGACGGGGTGGGGTTTGAGGGGGCAGGAGGAGGCGGTTGAGGAGGACTGGGGGTACCAGAAATTGGTAGGACGGTGGCAGGCGGAGGCGTCGGAGGCTCAGGGCGCAGCAGGCGCAGCGGCATGGGTGGTTTGCGTTCGTTCTGCTGCTGGCAGCCATTTCTAATCTCCTTCAGGCTGGGGGAGTTGTCCCGACTGCAGAGAGGGTTAGGGGGAAAGGAGATTATACCAAATACAAAGACTACACTCAATGCAGGGCCATTCAGTATCAAAGACAGCAGTAATAGGAGCCAGGAGAGATGGCTGCCAGAGTGACGGCCCCTTTGTGTCTTTGAGTTTTGGAAAAGTTAACTAAGAATGATCCTCCTTGGGGCAAAGGCTGCTAAGGAGGTGACGCTAATGAGATAATGTAGCCCATGCAAAAAAAACTAGATTCAACTACATTAAATATAATGTGGTTAAATCACAGCTAGATCAGATAATATATATATAGCTCTGAAGAAAATGAAGAGAGAACTCTCTACAATTATGGCAGCCATGCCATTCCAACGGATTACAAGCCTTAACTCCAGGATATTATTTAAACAGGATACAAAAAATGTATAACTGTTACATTTCTAATAGGGATTACAATGTTATAAAAAACTTAAAAAGATCAAATTGTGTTTACAAACGCTATCATGCTCTAGAAAAATAGGAGAAGCTGCCTTGACCAATGACATTTAATCTTTTACACATATGGAAAAACTGTTGCAGAATGTTGTCGACTGAGAGGCACCTGAAAACCTTGTGTGGGGTTGCTTTCTCTCACCTGATCCACCACATTCGACAAATTGTGTGTGTGTGTGTGTGTGTGTGTGTGTGTGTGTGTGTGTGTGTGTGTGTGTGTGTGTGTGTGTGTGTGTGTGTGTGTGTGTGTGTGTGTGTGTGTGTGTGTGTGTGTGTGTGTGTGTGTGTGTGTGTGTGTGTGTGTGTGTGTGTGTACACTGACCTGTTGATGAACTCCTCATAACAGGAATAAATGGCGGCGAGACACACTGCCACCAGGTTTGGCAGGACCCGGGGGTGGGGGCACTGCCCGGTGGGCCCGTGCATGCTGCAACACATGCTGTTGTTAGCTACCATGATCCAACCATCTGCTGTTCAGTATCCCTCTCACACACACACGCAGCTCTGTACACCTCATGCCTCATACAGCTTTAAGTCAAGACACTAAAGGGAAAAACTGTGTTTCTTCCCCAATGCACAATGTGGATCATTTGGGCTTTTTTGCTTCCGTAACTTTTTTTTTCACAAAAAGAAAAACTTCCTCAACACCCTTTTAGGTGTTTAATCTTCAAACACCCCTTGCATCTGTGGATTTATTATAAATTCACAAAAAAGGAGCATTAAATAATGCTCCATTTGCATATCTAAACATAACATTTCAGAACAGGCATAATCACCTTAATGTACGTAATGAAATGGTCAAGTTTCATAGACGTAGCTTATCTTTAAAAAGTCAACCTATTCACCTGTCTCCCAGAAAGAAAACATTTTGAAAACATGTTTTGTTATATTTAGGGTCTGAGCACACACAACCTTAGGTCCAAGGACCCTTTGGAAACTGTAGGAATGTTTTCTTATCCTTCCTAAAATTAATTGCAGTTTTGAGGGCCTAGAAATTATTTCAAAAATGATTTTCTGTGGCATAAAATGAAAACCTAGTGAAAATATACAGGTCCTTCTACACATTTCATCTGATTGACTTCAAATTTGGTCAGAACCCTCTGGAGACCCTGAGGATCAAAGGTTTGTCTGCAAACATAATGATAGTTTTAGGGTTGTGGCTTTGGAGGAGGCCCAGAGAGACTGGTCAGTGTTAGAGACTTAGAGACTTTTAGCTACACTGTACAGCTTTTGGAACGGGTGCTACGAGCTTGCTACTTTGGAAACAGTTAGCAACATTGGGCTGGGTGTTTCAGTTTGATCATTTAAAAAAATCCAATTTTTTTGATTTGGTCAAATATATATTCATCAGTAATACACCATTGACATGGATTCAAACATTCCATTACTGATAGTTGATTACATGTCTGAATGTGAGCCAGCAGGGCAGTAAAAGTTTGATTTTGTGCATGACATTTTCTCACCTGTGGACGAACTTCTTGACTACCTCCATCCCCGCATTGAGCTCGTTCAGAGCCAGGATGTACTCCTGCGTGAAAAGACGCAGTCGAGGGCACTTTCCAAAATCCTGCCAAGATATAAACAAAAAAATGTAAACCAAACAAAATAAAAAAAGACAGAACTTTAAGATAACATCCAGGAATCCAAAGTTTTCAATTAGAGATATCACAGGGGGCGCTCCAGGAAATAATTCATACATTCGTAAAATTTATATTTTACAATTATTTTACACTACAATTCAGTTAGCTAATGCTTGTATATAAAGCAACTTACAATACGTGCATATAACAGTGAAGATACAAACTGAAAACACATCAGATTTCAATAAGCCTAACTATTGTAGGTGCTATGTACAGAAGTGAGATGTTTGTATTATTGGCCATGGTATTATATTTCTCTATCCATCATCCTATCCAGACTTTATGATTAACCACAGGGTATAATAAAGCATATAGGTATTTTTTATTTTAGGTTTACTGTTTAAATTCAATTGAGCAAAGACGGAAGGTCTGAGGAAAACCCCTACAGCTCAGAAAGTAAAACATAATTCTTCAAACAGCAACAAAGAGTTAAACCTTTTGTAAAAATTTGACAAGGATTATGCTGAATACGGAATGGACATGTTATGTCAAGTCTTGGACCTTCTCAATATAACTATAATGATTGTATGTTATTGAATTACAGTTTCCAGATTTAGAAGAGGCCCATGAGTCTCTTTGCTAATTATCAATGGTCTTTGCAATTATCAGCAGATGTACCCACGTTAAGTAAAACTGACCCAATGTGAGAGGAAGTATAAAGAGGCTGATTAGAT